CCCAGTATTAGGTGCCCCACAAAGGAGTGCTTCCCCCAAACTTCCTCCCCCAGCCCCACAGCATTTCTTCAAAAGAGTTCATCAGATGGGGTGGCCAGACATCAAAGGTGGCCTTCAAGGGTGGGCCCACATTCTCAGGGCTCCTTCGTGCCAGCACAAAGATGTAGTTTGGTAGAAAGCTGGTAGACAGGGTGATGTGATTGAAGGTAAACTGAACCCAGGCAGATGGTGGGAGCTGGCAGAGCAGGCAGGATGCCCGAGTCCTGGGAGTTTCCATGTAGGGGAAGTCCCAGGTGCAGGTGCGGGGGTGCCAAGCTGGCCCCACCCAATACCCTGGCCCCAGGGGATGTGGGCACAGGGAGGAAAGTGGGTCAGAGCAGGGCTGGAGCTTAACCCCATGGGTCCCATAACCTCTCAGCCAGCTCCAAAGGGGGCACAGCCCAAGAGGCCTGTTCCTTTCTCCTAAGGGCCACCAATTCTTTTTCTGCAGAAAGAAGAACCTGGGGGGTTGGGGATGTAGCTTAGTGGTAGAGCACTTGCCTAGTGTGTGCAAGGCCCTGGGCTCAATTCCCAGCACTAGAATAGAAAAAAGAAAAAGAAGAGGATGAAAGAAGAACCTTAGAATTTTGGTGCCTGAGCAGGAGGACTTGGAAAGCTCCCCAGTGGATAAAAGAGAGAATAGGGAATCCCTCTCCCCTCTCCCCTCTCCCCTCTCCCTGGAGGTTTGGTGCAAAACAGACAGCTACACCCACCCACACGCTGGCTGGCAGACACTGGGAGCACTCACCTCACACACACTCCAGGCAACTGTGCAGGCAGACACGCTAGCTCCTGGGAGTGGGACAGGTCTGGGCTGGATCCATGGGCGGGGGAGGGTGCAGGGAGGAGAAGGCTTTCTGTCTGGGGAGGCTCCAGCTGGGTAAATGTAGGAATCTTCACCCTGGAGGGTTTGCCAACACGGAGCCTTGATTCTGTAGTATAATCTCAAGCCTAAGCCTGTAATTCTTACTCCCTCTCCGTGTGTTGGTTTCTGTTTTTGGAGCAGCAGACAAAGGAATGAACAGAATCATTCCAGGACAAGATCACCACGAGGCCCAGGCTCTTGCTTTGGCTGTGAGAGGGTGCTTGCTCTCAGAATCCAGGTGGAGCGCAGGTGTGCAGCACTGCTCTTCTTTCTGGGAGAGCCGGTTGGCTGAGAGCGAGGAGCTCTGTTCCAGGGCCTTTGCACACACTCTTTCATTACTCTCCTCTTTACTCTCCTCCACTTTTGCCCAGAAGACTCCTGATCTCCTTGCTGGGGGTGGTGGTTTGTGGGGGCATAATCCTCTGCTCCACCCTCATAGCACCTCATGCCTGTCCATAGCGGTTATCCTAGTTGTCCTTTGTGGACCCTTGGGGCCTCCCTAGGCAGAGTGCTTCCTGCATAGTGGATATTTAACACACATTTGCTCAATTAATGAATGGTGCAGGGGGCCTGCCCATTAGCTCCGTTGTTTAAGTGCCTGCTTAAACAAAGCAGTCAGCCTCAGGGTGCTGTGGTTCGATACCCAGATACTCAAGCCAAACCAGACCTGCACTGAAGGCAACTTGAGGCCACAAAAAATAAATAAATAAAATAAAGTGAATGGTGCATGTTCAGGAAAAGAATTCCTAGAGCTGTGTAGGCTCTAGGCTAATCCTAGCATCCTGTGTTCAAGAGCAAAGCTTCATTCTACATGGAGATCTGGGCAGGACTGGGGCTGGAAATACCTTCCACACACAAACTTTCTCACCAGGAGGACCAATAAGACAGAAAGTAGCAGAATGGGGTTGGCACAAGGGGTAGAACTGGGCAAGCAGTAGAAGGGCTGGCATTGGCCTTGGCACAGAATAGGCCTGGGGGAAGGCGGTGGGGGAGGAGGGGCAAGGGGAGGACACGTGTTGTACAAAACATGTTTTCATCATGTTCTCCCTGGGTGCCCAGGTCTCCAAGCCCCCATGGCACTTCTGTGTCTTAATGATGTCCTTGGGGGCTGTAACATAGCTTCCCCCAGCCCCCACGCACATCTACCAGTCATCTCTAAGCATGACATGGGACATCCGGCGGGAGCAGACGGCATGGGAAAATGACCTGCTCTGTGTGCTGATGCTGGTGGGGAGGGGGCAAAGGTGGAAATTAGGGGTGGGTAATAAGGCAAATAGAAGCGGGTGGGGCAAATGCCTGTAGCCTTTCCCTGTCCTTATAAAGTCTTTTTTGCTCTTTGCTCTGTGCTGAAGGGAGCTAAGGAAGCCTAGTTCTAGGGTCCCCAAGGTATCATTTCTCCAACTTGTCAGGGTGACAGAGTGCAGCAGCCATAGAGCTAAGCTTAGAAATAGCCAGCTCTGAGCAACTACTTTAAAGATAACAACATGCAATATATGAGCTATTGTTATTCTATTATGTTGTTATGAAAGTTTGTTTGACCTTTTTTCCATAAAAAAGAAAAAGAAGAAGCAAGAAAAGGAAAAATAGCCAGGCATGGCAGCACATACCAGGAGGCTGAGGCAGGAAACTCACTGTGAGTTTAAGGGCAGTCTGGGTTACAAAGTGAGTTCAAGGCCATCCTGAACTGCACAGTGAGCCCTTGGCTGAGAAAATAAATAAGCAAGCAAGCCTAGAAATAGGCACAACCTCAGGGAAAAGAATGGAGGGCATCCCATTTCACTGTTTGGCAATCTGGAAGTCATCTTTCCAAAATGTCCTCCTAGAATCCCTGGACAGAAACCTAGCTCTACTGGAAGACTGGGGCTGGAGAGAGGGGAGAGGATTCGAAACTCTTCTTGTCTGCTCCCTGATCTGCTCTGTTTGGTTTGACTGACACACTGCTGCAGTCCACAGACCCCAGTCCTTGGGTCCTGGCGTGGGACAGCAGAGGAGGTGGAATGGAGGCGGTGGCAACGCAGGGGGAGGGGATTGCAGGAGGCGGGCCTTCCTGGCTGCTGTCCTTGGTTGGGGATCAGGAGACCACCAGAAGGAGCTACAGTTACTCCAGACTAATGGACAAATGCCCACCAGAGACAAAGACAGAGACAGACAGACAGACAAATCAAGACAAAGAGAAAGGCAGCCAAATGGAATTCTAGACACTCTCTCTCCCAAGTGTTTTGTTCTCCGTTTTAGCTTCCCTGTCCCCATCTGTTGCCATGGGCTCACAGTCTCAGAGCTCCAGTTCTTGGTCTCTGGGACCAACCCCTGGCCTCCTCTAAAGGAGAAAGGAAGAGCTGAGAGAGGTGTGTTATGGCCAGGATTGTGTTACGGGGTGGTGCCTGGGTCTGTGTCCGAATGCCCAGCCAGGGAGGGAATGGTGCCCTCGCCTGGTTCATAAGGACAGGAGTCTCATTCACTGTAAACCAAGTACAGATGTGCTGGAAGGAGGAGGGGGGATTAAGGCCACATTCCCAAACCGCAGCTGGACCCGCCCTCCTTCCACCAACCACCACCAGGGAAGGCCAGGAGGGGTTAACTTTGTAGTCTCTGTGGAAGGATCTCTGCCACACAGGCAGGATGCCATCCCACCCGAGCCTGGACACCAGGGTCCAACTCCCTGATGTTGCCCCTCCCACATTGCTAGGAGTTGCTCCCAGGGTAACCAGCAAAGTCAACAGCTGTCAGGCCACCTGGGGACAGGGCCCTGGAGTACCTATTCCCAGCTCTTTTCAGCCTTGGAGTAAAAGAGAGGGTTTGTGTGTACCCCCATTGACATCTCTGGTCTCCTGAGATAGCCACAGGGTCCCTCTTCTTTCCCCCCTCACTTTTGCCTAACTCTGGCTACCAAAAGTGACCTTTCCTGGGGAAGAAGGACACTTGGTCCCTATGAGGACAGAGGAGAATAATTCCAGGATGGAAAATGTGACATGCCCCAGGAGTCCATGCCCCAGGTGCTGGCCACCCTGGGAGCATTGGTGGGGAGGTCCCTTGGCTTCCAGCCTAGCCCAACTCCAATAATGTCCTTTTTTCTTCTTCTTTACTCCCAACCAAGTCCCTGTGGGAATGTTTGGGGTCCAGGAACAGACTTTGGACTTCAGATACTTTTCTTTGGCTCTTAGCTCAGTAGAAAAGGATGAAAGTGCTGGGTTTCCATTCTAGGGTCAAGTCTGTCTCTGTTGGTCAACTAAAGTCAAAAATGTCCCGTCAGATACAGACGTTTGGCACATGGAGCAGGGAACCTGGCAGGCAGCTCTCGATGAAGCAGACACACACCCTTGCCTGGGCTTTCTCCCCGCACCAGTCCAAGACTCCGCCCACTCCCAGCCGCAGCTTCTCCTGCCCTCCTCTCAGCCTCTCCCTCTCCAAATCCAAGCGTGAAGGTGGGGACCACATTAGCAGCCAGGGTTCCAGTGGCCCTGACTTTTCGAGCTTGCTCCAGGCAGGTAAGAGGGAGGAGATCTATGAACCCAGGTCTCAGCACCCTCACAACCTCCACTAGTTAAACCAGTTTGCTCCTGGGGCAAAGGACTAGGGAGGCAGGGGAAAGGAGAGACTACTTTGACCTGCAGGTGGAGGCTCAGGGAAGGATAGGACAGTGACATCTTTGACTCCTGCCCCATCACTCCACCCTTGAGAGGGTTTGGACACAGCTCCCTCCACCCCCCTTTGCCTACCCTGTGGCCTTTCGGATCACAACTTGATCAGATACAACTCAACCAGGTTCCCCAAATGGCAGGAAGGGGAAAAGCGCCAGAGTGAAAGGGTTGGCATCATGGGGCGAGGACACTGACCTCCTCTGCCAGCCTAGCCCGGCCTTCCCGGGGATGGAGCCACGAAAGCCAAGCAAATGGGAGGGGCAGAGACCCAGGCGTCCTGGGCCGCCCCGCCCAGCCCCCCCAACTCCCGCCCCCCAGCCCCAGGGCACTAAGGAGGGAGCCGGGCAGGGGCAGGCGGCAGGGGAGGGTGGAGCGAGGGCGGGAGGGGGAGGAGGGAGCCAGGCTGGGAGGGAGGTGGGGGGGTAGGGAGGGAGAAAAAGAAAGAAAATATTTTCCGTGTCCCCGCCTGCAGAGTCAGTGTGCGGTTTGGGAGAAAATGTGTCGGATATTTTGGGGCGGTCACGTGGGCGGGCGGGCTCCGAGAGGCCCCGGGACAGTCCCAGCCTAGAGCCGTGCCCCCCAGAAGCCCCCCATTGCCCCGCAAGCCCCGGACGCGGCGACGCTGCGTCCCGAGACCGCCTGCACCCAGATCCCGGGGCTCCGCGGCCTCCCTTCCCCGCCCCCCTCCAGGTGAGTCAAGCTGTGAAGCCGGCTCACCGGCCGGGTCCGCCACGGACGCCGGGTCCCGCCGAGGTGAGTTGGGGGCCCCGCCGGTGCCTCCCTCCCCCGCGGGGGGGGTGCTGCTTGGGCAGCCGCAGGGCTCGAGGGGGCGCTTCCCGCCCGGACTTGGGGGACAGCGTGATGGGAAACGGGAATGGGAAGATGGTGTTAGGCTGGGGGTGGGTTGTCTGCCTTTGGAGTTGGCGAGTAGTGGGGAAGGGCATTTTGGGGAGAGGCTGCATGTCTGGGGACCTCGGTCCTCTCGGGCTTGGAATGTGAGGCGAGACCGGGTTCCTTCCTTCTGTGGGGAGAAGCGGCTGCACTCTTCCGCTGGGGGCTCTGCGGGGTGGATGTGATGGGCTAAGCTGGTCCAAGTTCCTGCTTCTACAGAGGGATGGCAAGGTAGAAGGGTGAGGAAGGGACCCGGTAGCAAGCGACCCTGACTGCCTGGGCGCATGAGTTGCGAGGGACAAGTGAATAGCAGCTGGGTCTGAGAAGTTCCTTAATCTGCCCCACCAGGATTCCCTCTGACACATTCCCCAACCACTCGGTGGTGGGCTGTCTCCAGCCAAGGTGGGGGGTCTCCTGCAGTGTTCTTAAGGAGAGCCAGAGTGAAACAAAGGAAAAGCTGGAAGACAGGGACAGGACCCTGGAGTCCTCATCCTGGAGTCCCATTGACTGCTGTTTCTGTTTTCAGCAGTTCCTGCCCAGTCCCCTCAGTCTGACCCAGTATGTAGGGCAGAATCTCTGCAGGTGGTCAGAGGGTAAGAATATGAGTGGTTGTTGTTGATGGTGGTGCGGTGGGCAGGGGCACCTGAGGAGGGGTCTGTAGGGCAAGAAACTGGAATGTTGTCATTGTTCCTCTTTAGGGCTTGTGTCCTGGGCAGCTGGAATCCTAGTCCTCAAATCGGAAGCACCAGCTTTTAAAGTGACTTTCCATGCTGAGGAGTAAGGTGGAGGACTACAGCCTATATCCTTGAGGCAAGTAGAGAGAAAATAAGGTGGGAGGGGGGAGTGTGTACTTGGAGGTTGAGTATCCTAACTAGATGGGTACACACACACACACACACACACACACACACACACACACACATAGTGGCTTAGAGTCTGGTAGGCAGCAACACAGGGCACGCCCCCCAACCCTGGCACACCCCCACCCCTGGCTCAGAAAGCCACCTAACTGGCACCTCCAGTTCCCCCCTTTGCCCCACCCTGCCCGTGCCCTCCAATGCCCACACACATTCCACTGGCATTGCCTGCCTGCCTCCTGGGTACTGCCCCTCCCTGGGGCCAGTGGAGTGAAGGAGGGAGGGCACCTGGGGATGAGAGGTGGAGACTCCAGGGTCTGTACCCCCTCCCCCCCCCGCAGTGGCACAGGGCCAGGGAAACTGGTCCATGACTGCCTCTTGGGGAGCAGGATGGGGGCCCAGACTAGAGCAGAGGGTGCCTGGGTTCTCTGCCCAGGCTGGAGATGGGGTCATGGAAAAAGGTGGTCGTGTTTATACAGAGGGGAGGGGGGCAGCGGGTGGAGAGCAGCCGACAAGAGCAGCTTTGTTTCAGGCTTTGAGCCGGCAGGGCAGCAGGGAGACACCCCCTCCATCCAGGCAGCCCCCTTCATCTATGCCCTCCCCTCAACTCCACCTTAAGAGAAACGTCTTTGTAAGAGCCCCTTTGCCTTAGCCCCCCATCCCACCTCATCATCTGAGGTGGCATCTTGGGAGGAGTGAAGATTTCTCTCCCTTCCACGAGTCTCCCCAAGAACCAAGGTATCAAGGACCTTCTTACAGGATTTCCTTTGACTTCATACCATCTTCATTGTCTTGTTCTCTTCCTCTAACCTGGGGTGAATCTTCTCCCTTCCCTTCTCAGATGTGGCAGCAGAAAAGGCTTAGTAAAAGGAAGAATCTTTGCCCTTTTTCTCCCTTACTGACTCACAGGTCCCCTCTTTAGGTCCTTTCTCCAAGAAGTGTAGGCAGAAGTGTAGGTGAGGGAGGGTTGGCTTGTCTTCTGCTCATTTACAGCCTCCTTTTTAAGAAATCTGAACATCCCTTTCTGGGACCTCTGCTGAAAGTCTACTCTCAAGGTCTCTTTCCCAACTGTAGGTGAGAGACAAGGAGGGCTGTAACAGAGGTCCCTTCCTAGTCTAGGCAGAGTCTAGGGAAGGTGAGTGGGGATAGGGTTGGGGGTGGAGGAGGCTCTTACTAGCTTCTCACCCTTGGCATTGGAGGGGTTAATCCACCTGGAATGTGGCCCAGCCTGTTGAGCTATGGCCCAGGGGCCTCAGGGGCCCGAACTCCTGGCTCCACCTGGGCTTAACCAGGATAAGCACCTCACAGGAATATGGGAAGGAAAGGAGGAGGGACCTTGGGGGCTTGGAGCTCAGACTTTTAAGGCCCCGGAAGACACTTTGCTAGAGCTGGGGGGCCCTAGGGACTTGGGTAGTACCTGGTGAAGTTTGTGCATTGAGTCCGAGGGAAGAGTAGTGGTGCTGGGGTATGAGTTCTTGTAACCTCCATGATAATTTACTCTCAAAGGCTTGAAGGCCAAGGTAGACGAGAGAAAAGATGTTGATTTGATCCTAGAAGCAAATAATGATGGAAAGATGCAGAAATGTCCATGACCTGGGCCTCCCATCCTATTGGTTCTCTGTGCTTCACTCTTGTGGTTCCTTTTTCCTCTTCTTTATGTTAGTCATGGGTCATGATTCTGATTAGTGAAGGGATGGAGGCCAGGGTCATCCCCTGGATCCCATTAGCTTCCAAGAAAGATAGGTGGTTTTTAGGCTCCTTGGAGGGCCAACCTTTCCCTTGTCAGAGCTTCAGGAAAAGACCACCTGCCAGTCCTGGGATTCCCATTTCTCTTTTTCCCTGCTGTTCTTCCTTTTCCTGCATTCAGTTTAAAAATCTTGGTGTCTCTGTGTATGTGTGGGAGGAGCTGGCTCAGTGGTAGAGCACTCACCTAGCATGTGCAAGGCTCTGGGTTCAGTCCTCAGCGTGGGGAAGACCCATCCTGGGGGTAAAATTGAAGGAGAGAGGACACAGAAGAGTTTAGAGGCAGGCAGCAGAGATCAGAAACAGAGTGGGAGAAGCAAAGTAAACTGAGGACAAGGAGAGGAGTTTTCTAGTGTTATAGTTGTCTGGTTCCACCAGTGTTCCTAATTTAAAGGAGAGTTTGCAAGAGAAGTTAGGGAGTAAGGGATGATTGTTGACAGAGACAGAATTGGGAGGGAAGATAAAGAAGGAATTTTTTTTTTTTTTTTCTGGAACCTGGGATTGAACTCAGGACCTTGCGCTTACCAGGCAAGTGCTTATTCTGCTGAGCCATCTCCCTGGCCCCAAGAAGGAGTGTTGAGGAAGACAGAAAGAAGGAAACACTAATTAAAAGAGGCATAAAGGGGGCTGGTGAGATGGCTCAGTGGTCTAAAGCACCTACTTAGA